ACCATTATAGATAGTATCTAAGTCTTTTGTACCAACTACTTCAATGCGGTAACTACATTTACAACAATTTACATTTATACCATATACAAAACATATAAAACAAAATACCACAAATAAACAATGTTATGAAAATATTTAAAAACGACTAACTAATTTAAGTCTTACCTAATATACTAATAAGGATATTTAACATAAGAATAACACTACTTTCAGTCTATTAAAAGGAAGACACTCTGTTCTTGTGTTCTATTTTTTCACTCACTGTTTAGCACTTAATACTAACGTGCACTAACACTAATCAACTAGAACGGGTCTCGCGAGGAATTGCGTCCCGGCTCGCCCATGAATAGTGTAAACAAAAATATTACCGATGTAGCCGGGGCGTATTTCGCGAGACGTGTGATGTGAAGTTTAGAGGTAGAAAAAGTCCCTGGACACAATGGCAGGGGAGTAGAAAAGGTATTATTTAAAAAAAAAAACTTTTTGTTTTTAAATATCTAAAGGCGGTAACCAAAAAACAAAGAACGGGTCCCGCAAGGAACTACGCCCCGGCTCGTAATATTGTAAATAAAAATATTACCGATGTATCCGGGGCGTATTTCGCGAGACTTGTCATTCCTGAACTAGTTTATTGTAATTAATATATTGTATCTTTTCAGTAAAAATTTAAGAGATAGATAAAGTCCCTGGACACAATGGCAGGGGAGTACTATTATAATAAAAAAAAATCTTTTTGATTATTGGGGACACGTCCTCCACATTAAGGTACGGATGGAGGTCCTTATTGCGAATGTTCAAGGGAGCATTGACTTTTGGCACAGTTGGCAACCATAAGTCCGGAAGCAGACAGTTCACTCAACGAACCATTAAAAACGATAAAAACGACGAAAAGATTTACATATATATGCAGTTCATTAATTATTTCCATAAATTTTGTAGTGTCCAAACTGTTTACTCTGTTCGTGGATTCTGGATTAATTAGAAGTTGTTTTTTTTATTAAGACTCCGCGCGATGCGTCATTTACTGGAATGTATAAATTTCTAATTACAAACGGTTTAAGTTAAGTAATATTTACGTAAACGTTACATTAATACAAAGCTTATTAATACAAAAACATAACTATGAACATAATATTATCTTAAAAACAAAACAGAAAACCGAAAGCTTTTAATAACAAATTATGAATAATGCTTGCGTAAAGCTATAATGGCAAACAAATCTTTCCTTGTTTTGTAGGAAGTTTTTAAGTTTTCTTAATATTAAAAAAAACATGACAAAATATCGCTTATTAATGCCTCAAGCATGCCATATTAAAAGCATTATGATAACCCCACCCCGCAAATAGCGACAAGGCTGATTATTTACATAATCAATGCATTCACAAGATAAGACTGTCGCCGTACCATTAGTTCACGATTTAAACTTTCGACGGACTAATCGATGACATGGCAAAGTATCAATAACAATCTTTATACACCACAAAACTTACTAAAATATTTGATACGCGTTTAACTTTTACTTCATAAGACGACATCTAATTTCACTTTTTTAACTAAAATAAAAAAAGGGTGAATCCAGGGTAAACGGCGTATTGGTAGAAGGAAATCATGGCTTCGCAAAGTTAGGGCGTGGACGGGTATTGCGACTGCGGAGGAGTTGCTGCATCTGGCACAGGACAAGACACGCGATTACTTTCGTTAAAATATCAAAATGTATTTGTAATACTCGTATTTCAAAGGTATGCGTGCGTTTCAGCATGTAGAGACTTAGGGTAAGATTCAGAAACGACCCGAAAGTCAAAAATGATTTGAATTTCGACATACGGGCATCATTTATTGCCAGGTCTTCCCTTCCGTTCTACGCCCTTGATTTGAGAACTGGCAGTAAATGTAAAATTGGAAGCACTTCATTTATATATTAAATATATAGTATTGTATGAAATAATTGCGACACTCAGCTCACAGCCATTGCTTGGCCACAACTGAGCGTCGCGAGGATTGTTTAGAAAGACCACGTTTTCTTTTGCCTTGAGAAGTCTAATCTTCTAATAGTGGGTCCGATCCGCTTCCGACTTAAGATCTGGTGCCCGAATGATGGCTTCCAGCACCGTTCGTGTAGTTGTTCATCTTCTCCGGCCAGAAGGCTCTCAACATCTGTCACAGGCATCGGATGAACAGAGAACTGGATTAGTGTTCACTTCAACCTAAAAAAACACAACGCACGGAAGAAGTTCGTAAACCCTTAGTAAGGAATATTTGACAGAACTGAAACTATAATACATTATTCATAATCCAACCAGTTTTGTCACTTTGTCGCGCGTCATTTTTTGAACACTTATTAGACATTATTATTATTTTAAATATTTTATTTGCAATTCGTAGGAGAAGCGTAGTTTTTTTATTTCAGATTTAGTTTACCCACGTACCCATGCATGTTCTTGTAACACGGCTGACAAAGAGCGTTCAGGTCTATTCAGGATGCGTAAAACTATAATTGCATTGCCGTTCTTTTTGGCCTAGGCCTGTCCTTCAGGCAATTGACCACCCTGCAATGGCTTAATGAATCCGAGTCGCAGGAGACGTCTTTGCGCTAATCGTGAGAAAAAGCCCATTTCGGCCGAGCTACTTTCGCCAAAACTGAGAACCGTCAAGGCCCGCAAACAACGCGATTCCATTTAAAAAAAATGGCCCCAGATTCTTTCTTGGAGTGTTACAGGTCGTGTCTTCCTGCGAGGATCTCACTGGTAGCCAAATTTGCTAATTTTTACATGAAAATGCCTTGACTTAGTCGATAAATCAAGCTCGGTAAGCTGATTTATGGACTGATAAAAGATTCATAGCCTCAAATAAATTATTTTGTCATTCTTGTTTCACTTAATAAATTAAATTGACAACGTTTATCTATTTTACCGCTTCAGATGGTAAACTTAAACTTTTGTTCTTTACTTTACAGAAAAAATAGACGAATAGATAAACGTTTCTTAATTTAAGCTTTCATTGTAACTTACAATATCATATATTTGATCCAAATTATAAACTTGATAACGTGTTATCTATTTTTAGTATATACCATGCTTGTTTATATTGGTGTTTTATTCTTCAAAATTAGTTTGTGACTGACAAGAAATTCCTAAATCGCATGTTATGTACTATGCCGACTAACCTTTTTGCTACCTATTTCCTTAAAAGGCCTTATAGCGCTCGGACCCCACGGACCAAGGGTCTCGACAACGAATGGGACAAAATCATATTCGGAGCCTAGACCCCTGTATTTGCATGCTTTAGCTTTTTGTATTTTATGCTTTTAATGTTTATTAAGTGATAAATATTGCAAAAATAGGTTAAAAGAAAACGGCACTTTTGAGGTGTCGATGTTATAGGTGTTTTTCATATTATAATTAAATGAATTACACAAATATGTTTTGAACGAGGAAATACATATGTATTTTAATAAGAAGATGATTTAAATTTTCTCTGTGAAATGTACTTCTTCTTCTTATAGTGCCATCTCCTTGCGAAGGTTGGTGATCATCATGGCTATTTTTATTTTGGATGCCGCGCTTTAAACAATGACCTGGTGCTTTGACCGAACCACTGTCTCAAGTTTCTCAACCAGGACGTGCGTCTGCGGCCAGGTCTCCTTCTACCTGCCACTTTGCCTTGTATAATTAGTTGAAGGAGCTCATATTTTTTGGAGTTACGTAAAACGTGTCCGAAATACTCAAGTTTCCTTTTCTTAACCGTCATAAGCACTTCTTTGTTCTTCTACATTCTGTCCAGCACGGTTGTATTTCGTATGCGGTCTGTCCAAGATATTTTAAGCATACGTCGATAAACCCAGATCTCGAACGCTTCCAGTTTTTGGCGTGGCCAGTTTATATTGATGGGCCGGCTGCACAATATGACTATGGGTACTCTGTCAGGGTTACCCGTTCAAGATGCGTTACCCTCTGAGGCGTTACCTCTCTGAGGGGTTAATTTTTAAAAGATAATTGTATTTATGCGTACACACAATAAGACGTAACATCGCGCAATTTTAGTACGTCAGTAAACCGACTTTACAGACAACCGATTTTTTTGTGGACAGAGCTGTCAGCGTTCAAGATTCTACGCCGTAGAGCAGCACAGAGAAGACGTAACATCGCGCAATGCGAGTTATAAGCTGTACATTTAGGCGCTTGTCACAAAGTACTTTTTTTAGTTTTGAAAAGGCATTCCGAGCTTGTTCAATTCTGCAGCGGATTTTGATGCTATGGTCACCCTTTTCATCAATCACTGTGCCTAGATATCGTATTTTCGAGACACGTTCCAAGGTTTGATGGTTGAGGTATATATGTTGCGTGAAAAGCTCCGGTGTTCGGCTTATTGTCATATATTTTGACTTTTTCGCATTGATGCTAATACCAAAATGAAATGTACAGTCATTTGAAATAGCCTAAGTGTGAATTATTAGAGCATGTCGATGCCCTTCTAAGATATTGATATGTTTATTATGGAATATAAGATCACTTATTCCACGTCATTAAATTTGAATCTGTAGGCATCCCTACTCATCGGCAAAGAAGACAGAGGGTGTAGGCCGAGAGAAAAAGCCGGCGTAAAAAAACTCACGGTATTCTTTTAAAATAGCAAATCATCAAACAACACTTATTTTAAAACAAATATCGCAAATTAATTAGAAGTAGCCTGTCTAGCACTATTCCCAGGCCCTTTTATCAACTAGACTAGCAGCCCATCCCGGCTTCGCACGGGCATAATAATATAATAAAAGAAAATACACAATGTTTTACAGTGAGTTTCTAAAAAACTAACATTCATTGAAAAGAAACAACTAAGATATTATGATTGTTTTTGTGAATAGATTTTTTTAACCTTTTTTTTGTTTTTTCATTGTTTTTATTATATATTATTTTTCACTTTTTTTTCTTGTCATTTTTTAATATGTTTTTATTTATGCTATACTAATTGTTAAAAGGTCATAACCGCTAAACAAAACCCATTTAATAGCCTGTAAGAGCCTCCCTGTAAACAATATTTGATGTGGTTTTATTTTGTGGCAGCAAAATAAATTGATTTTCAGGGGCTCCAACCCGCCATAGGCCAACGTATAATTGACCATGAGTAAAACATTTCTTTCGCAGATCGATCCCAACTAATTCGAAGGTTTGACCTTGGGACTTGTTAATTGTTAATGTTTTACCGGAACTTGAAGCCGTTTAATGGGGATTGGTAAATCAGTTGGGATTATCGGTATCCTCGGTATATGAGCTAGTTGACCAGCTGCTGGACCGGTCATAATAGCTGCTACAATTAAATTTTCCTTTAACTCCTTAATAAGCAACCTCGTCCCATTGCACATGTTTGGAGGGCTTAAATTTCTCAAAAGCATGATTGGAATTCCAATTTTTAAAGTCAATTCGTGTGGTGGTAATCCAGAAGGGTTCAAGGAATTCAAAAATTCCTGTGGATAATGAACTGTATCTTCAATATTAGTTACAGTGTCTATCGACTTGTATTTTTTTATCTGACCGCTGACTTTTTGAACGATAAGATTGTTTATTTCGTTGACAGTATCATTCTTTGGTGACACTATTGCCCTAGAGACCAACCAATGAAAGTCTTTTTCGTGCAAATTCTCATTATCAGGGTATACTGCATTTATTAAATTTTCCAAATTATGGAGTATTTGACCTAGAGACTCATCCAGAATAATGTCACTATATCCGCTTAAATTTGGAGCAGGGAAAATTCCTTCCCCAAGTTTTAGCAGTTGTTGTGGGAAATCACTGTCACTACCATGAGATGAGGACGAATATTAGATGAGCTCTCATATTCGTCCTTAATTTTAATGTTTCAATCGAAGTCCATAAGGGAGACGATTTCAAGCATGCTTTGATGATATCTGCTCGCGTACCTCTGTTAATAACGGGGAGAGTCTGTCGGAAATCTCCAGCAAATACAAATGTAATCCCGCCCATGACTGCAGAGGAGTTCCTGAGGTGTTTTAAGGTTCTGCTCACGGCCTCTATATGTGCTCTATGGCTCATCGTGCATTCGTCCCACATAAATAATGAGGTGTCTTGTAGTAATTTACCTAGAGGCCCGCTTTTGCGGATAGAACATGTGGATTGTTGCTCAAGATTTACAGATAGCGGAAGTTTAAAAGTAGAATGAGCAGTTTTGCCACCTCTCAAGAGAGTTTCAGCAATTTCTAAGGAAGCAACTGCTATTGCTATCTTCCCTGATTCTCTGACCTTAGCAAGTATCAAATTAGTAAGAAACGTCTTTCCTGTTCCGCCTGGCGCATCTAAGAAAAATATTTTTCGTTTGTCATTATTCACGCTGTCGACTATAGTCTCAAAAGCATGTTTTTGATCTGGGACTAATTTTGGTAGGTTTTCATTGACGAAAGCGGTCAAATCATTTGTATCGTAGTGATGTGCCATTGTATCTGCAACATTGTTTTCTGTACGGAAGAAGGTAATCCAAAATCAAAAACATTTAATTGAAACAATCTATTTTCTATTTATATCAAACCTTCATTATAAATATTCTCATTGTATGGTAACGCGAAGTCTTGATTTTCCTGTCTGATTCTGTGTCTAACATCTTCACACAAATCATCTTTGAAACTGTCCCACAATTTGAATGGCTCCGATGGCTGACAAAATAAATGTATGACCACAAATAACTCTCTTAGTTGTATTGGACATTGCAAAAGCGATGCTTCTCGTCGAGTATTTTCCCAATGGTCATCGTTTTCTAGTAAACCTCTGGCACGGCAAGCAGCTTGATAGGTCTCTTTGAAGTTCTCGTCCACAGTTTTCAAGTATCCTAAGATAAAAACACTCATTTTGTGATGTTGACTCCCCGTACCTCTTCAAAGCATAGCTAGCCGAGCGGAGTTTTTTCTATTATTTAAACTCGTGATATCTTTTAAATGGAATATCCGAATCGAATCATTTAATAGGTGATATAATGAAGGTATTGAAGTAGTCTTTAATAATGATTTATTTATTTTGATAAGGATCAATACCTAGGTACAAATAAAGAGCCTTTTCTAGCGGTGGTATTTTAATAAAAAAAATTAATAAAAGGACGCTTATTGTGACGTAACTATAAAAGATAGAGACATGCTGTAGTACATTTTTTATAGATAGTGATGTGACCTGAAAAATTTTAATTCATCATTTTGTTCTATCATTAATAGTTTTCGCAGTGCACGCGATTGAAGGAAGTTTTTTGTTTATTTTTTTACACCTTTGGTTAGATTATTCAAGTTTTAGTAAGCATCCCTATTTTTTTTGAAAATGAAACATAGCCTATGTCACTCGGGAATAGTGTAGCTTGCCAACGGTGAAAGAATTTTTGAAATCGGTCCAGTAGTTTCGGAGCCTATTCATTTCAAACAAACAAAAAATCAAACCTTTCCTCTTTATAATATTAGTATAGATAACGTTCGTTAACTTTATAGTAAGCCTTTTTACACAGCTTTTCTTTAATACATTTCTTAAATTTATTAAATGGCGATAAAAGAACCTCTGGGATTTTATTAAAGAAGAGTATCCCTTTTCCCAAAAAAGAATTACTAACTTTAGATAGTCTTGTACGGGAAAATTACTAAGACTTATCATCAAGGGTCGTATCCAACTCCAAACAGTGGCTCCTTAATTATTGTAAAGAGTAAATGCTGTACGGTTAAATGTGAGTACACACGCGACAGAAGTTCAAAAAATCCAACTTATCCTTGCGCCATTACGCCGGAACCACCTATCATTTCCGGTTCGTGTGTCAAAGCCAAATCAACAATGGTCACCCTTCTTTGCCTGACGCTGATTTAGCGCAAACATATACAAAATTGAAAAATTATACACCTAAACCTTCCTTAGGAACCTTCAGGCACGCAACCGGGATACTTTTTTATGTGAAATCATTTTGTTCGAGGTTTACACGAATACGCTATTTGAAATAGAATAAATCAGTGACGCTACTTATATTTATAATCATCATTAATAAAGATTTATATGCTAATCTGCATATATATTTTAACATAAGTGACTTAATTGTAATACATCGAATTAAAAATAAAATAAATATGTGACGCTACAACCTTTTTACTTTTGGACCTCAAATTTTTGTATCTTTTTTTGATTTGTCAATCTAATACGACTTTTTGGGTCTTAGGCAAGCCGGTTTCCTCACGAAGTTTTAATTCACCGTTCGAGCGAATGTTAAATACGCACATAGAAAGAAAGTCCATTGGTGCTCAGCCCTGCGATTCGGCATTCAGATAAACAATAAACTACAAGCTCCCTTCTTATCAGAATGTCAAATCATAAAATGACTGCTTTACGACTGATTTGAGCGCGACCGCCGCTGTGAAAACCGCTGTGTGAGTTGAAAAGTGAGTTACAGAATCGCAAGGCAGGAATCTAACATATGATAAGGGATGTGAGTCGCAGCTGAAGCTACTAGGCCCGCCCACACTGCTCATTTGAAATGAAAATTTTTTTAATTTACTGTTTTATTTAGTATGTGTATGTTGTGTGCATAATTATAAATTGTAATTACGCAGTTTCACGTATTGAAAAATAAAATTACTATATTTATTCAACCAGTCCACATTTTGAGTATATTAAAATTTAAAAATAAAAATATTATAATAAACTTTAAAAGAAAACATAACCTTTAAAAAGTTAAACAAACATAGGTAACAAGGAAACGATTTACAAAAAAGTCCTTAAAAATATACAATTGTTGCGACATAATTTTGATTTTTACAATAAATAGAACCTGAATTCACTTGCGTCTTTCACTTTGTTCTTTAAATAGTTCGTTATGTCTTATAAAGGATTAACACATTTATGATAGCGTTTATCATGCCCGGGCGCAAGTGTGCTTCGGACGTCGAATCGCGCGCACGTTTTACTTCAATAATGAATTGTTAACTTGTGTTTATCGTGTTATCTATGGAATGTTTTTGTGACACTGTGTGAGAACAGGATTCAAAATTGACTACTTTAAAGGTACGTTTTAATATTCTGGATAAGATACAATGTTGTATTAAAAATAGTTATATGATAGTAAAAAATTGAAAAAATATTTTTACCAAACGACATTAAACTACTCAAGGTTGACGCGAGTTCAATTAAATAGTAATAATGTTGATTTGTCATTTACAACTTCTTGATTTTAATCAATTCAAAACAATTTAAGACTTCGAAACGGAAATAATACGTTTACAGAAGTTTTATTAGAAAAGTAATTCAAAGATACTGTATAATCATATTATTACGATATCGTATTAAGATGCTTTGATTAAAGTACAAATTATATCAATGAATTAAGCGTGAACATTTTCACGTGACTAGATCATGAATAAAACCGAAGACAATGTAAGTAGTTTACTTTAATTGTCTTTGATAATACATATTGCGGCATTAAAATATGAATAACGATAAAACAATATTTTAATTAATGTAAATTAGTACATCATATTATAGAGTTGTGTATTTATGTGACGATTAAACTCAAAAACGGGCACTCACATTGCCAGAAGGCTCACTATAAACGGGCCAGGCACCTGATGTTAAGTGATACCGCCGCCCATGGACACTCTCAATGCCAGAGGGCTCGCGAGTGCGTTGCCGGCCTTTTAAGAATTGGTAAGCTCTTTTCTTGAAGGACCCGCGTTTTTGGATTCAGAATATCAGAATATTGATAAAACAAATCGTATAATTAAACACAATGAAATGTATTTAATAGAACAGTGTTGGTCAAGTGTGTTCAGCGAGCGATTTTCATCCCTTAGGTCGTAGGTTCGGTCCCCTGCTGTGCACCAGTGGTCTTTCGGTCTATGTGAAAGAATGATCACGAAATAGATACAGAAATCTCAGGCTCAGACCTGAAAGTAGCTCTTTTAAAAAGCGCTACAATTTTTTTAAATGTATTTAACATGTACAATTAGTACTTCAAATATCTGAATTTTTATTTTTTATTCTAAAACTACCAGTTAAAAATTAAATATTATAATATCTAAAGAGTTTGTCTTAGGTTTTAAAATATTGTTTTACGATTTAATCAATAATTTTAGTTTGTAACCGGCATTGATCAGCAAGTACTTATTAAAAGCAATATATGTCACATCAGAGTCACACCGTAGGGTATATATTAATGAAATACAACCATATCATATAGAAACTCAATCATAAACCATTAGTTGTTACTCTAGTCTGTGGAAATGATAATTGACAAGAAGATTGATGCGCATAGTGAACTAGGCAGATATATTTCTGTCATCTTGATGTGTTTTATTATGAATACATGAATCAGTCTTAACTGATAATAGGCTCTCTCTTATCTTAACACGTATGTTTTATAAGTGTAGCATGTCATTAAACGCCCGAACCCAATAACATATCTCAATCCATTTTTGATTCAATCTAAATGTTGAAACAATAACCAATAGCTATCCATGGGAGGTCGTATCGATGTCTGTGGATAGACCTTTGTATGAAAATGACAGTTGACGAAAGCTCGATTCCAACAGTTAATTATTTTAACAGATTTTAACTTACACTAGTTTTTTAAATAATAAAAAAAACTGTTTATGTAAACATGGAGTCGGTTTGAGTACGCAACAGTAACACGTACGTCATCCTTAATTGTTCTCTTGTGCTATTAAGATCACCAAGTACTTAAAACAAAAAACCAAAAAAAGAAATAAAACATAGTGTGTACCAGTTCAACCAGAAAAGTGTAAAACACTTCTACTATAACCTAAAAAGTGCAATGCAATGTAAATAGACTTGGTACCAACATAATACAAGTCACAACCCGGTACCAAATACAAAACAGAAAACCTACCAACAAAAAAAACTTTCATAGACACTGACATCAGAGGGTTGCCAGTGCACGAAAAAAAAAAGTACCCAACAGGACAAGGATGATCAGTTGCTTCGAACACGAAAAATAAAAAACAAACTTAACAACAAGTACAAGAGTTTTGGAACTGGAAGAAAAAAAAAGATGGAAATCCACAAAGGCACTTCCGACGTAATCACTTTTGACTCAAGCTAGGAAAAACAGAATTGAGCTCGTAGACTACAAAAGAGATAATAATAGAACAGGTTCCACATGGAAAGTCAAGAAATCATAATGTTATAGGATTGGACGTCGTACAGTAACAAAAACGACCAGAGTGGTTCTTTCACAAACTTGGAAAAAACAACAAATGACAAAAACCCCGGTATTTACTCAAAGAAATTTCCCCAAAAAAGTATTGGAAAACGCAAAACCACCACAGGTCGAGGAAAGAAGAAGATCATCCTGAATCGCAATAAACCCAAAACCGTGATAAAGAAAAGAGGAGTCTAATTCACCACCGTCAAACAGAAACAACCTAGAAAAGCCGAAAAGTGGAGCAACAAAAAACGGAAACCTGCACTAACTTGAACGCGGAGACGCGTCAATATCAGAACCCTCAAAAAACTAACCCCCTATCTCCAAACCAAAACAACAATTCCACAAAATTCATTTCCACGTTCCCCGGCTGGTCCCCGCGGGACACTAGACCAAAACCCTCAGCTAAAAATGTGAAACATTCAAAATTGGAAACTTAACACAAAAACCTTTCCAAGACGGTTGGTCCGCGGAAGAGTATGACCACAACCCTCCACAAGGCTATGAGGAAACATAAAAAAAAATTATTTACTCTGTACGCACGTAGATCGCTGCTCCAGAAAATATTACCAGCACAAGTCTAGAAAAAAAAAATGATGATTACGGAAGTAAAAATTGAAGGCAAAAAATAACAAATAGAACATATCTAATGTTAGAGGAGAAAAAGTGGGT